AAACAAATACTCAATGATAGGCAATATCTTGTCTATCTGACACATGCAAGTGTCACAATCCATGGTCTTCACGCAGTTGATGGCAGTTCATCTACATCATACCTATATTCTTTTGAAAAGGTACAATGATTAAAGGTTTCCAGCTTCATTACATATTTTGAATACTGTTGGCCTGTGGCCAACAAACGCAGGTGCGTGGTGTTCTTTCGTACATACATCCTTTCAAGTGACTCGACATCTCGCTTCACCACAGCATTTCACAGTGTTGAAGCACCCACGTCTGATAATTTGGCCAAATATTTCTCGACACAATTATGGTGCCTGCATTAGTATCTTCAAAAATGATACATGTGTAAATTTTACCACATAGTACCAACCCTAAACAGATCAGCTCAAATGGCCAACAGGCCCAGCTAAACAAATCATTAGCGAAAGTTTTGGTAGGGTAGATAATGTTGATTGTACTGATAAAAACCATCTAGTAATGCAATGGAGATTTCTCCNATGCAAGTTGAATGTAATGTTGACGGGTCCCAAGAAGATTGGAACTGGTAGTTGACTGTCAAATGGTGCCCCGGGACATTGTGAGTAGTGTGCTTTTTCTGGATCAGAAGCTATTTTCCAATGTACTAGAAGATTACTTCATCAAAACATGTTTGTGAAAATATGACAGTCAAAAATCGCGACAGAACTTAGGTTATCATTTGTTCCTTCACTAGATCATCCACCCATATCCTTTTCTTCTTACTCACACAGGACGTTTTCGTCGAGAGAGGAGTTTCAGAGTGCCACACGTCAGATATTTGTTTTCTAAATGGAGAATCTCTTGAAAAACAAATGGTGTTGCCTTTTTGCTGAAACTGGAAATTGCAATTCAATAAAAAGTGAACCGAAAAATTTCCCGATAGATACGAATACTCAACGATAGGGAATATCTCGCCCTTCATTTTAGGGGGTAGAGAATCTGACATTCACAGTTGTCACGATCCATGATCTTCACGCAGTTGATTGCGGTTCATCTACATCATACCTATATTCTTTTAGAACGGTACAATTATCAAAGGTTTCCATCTCCATTGCAGATTTTGAATACTGTTGGCCTGTGGCCAACAAACGCAGGTGCGTGGTGTTCTTTTGTACATACATCCTTTCAAGTGCCTCGACATCGCGCTTCACCACAGCATTTCACAGTGTTGAAGGACCCACGTCTGATAATTTGGCCAAAAATTTCTCGACAAAATTATGGTGCCTGCATTAGTATCTTCAAAAATGATACATGTGTAAATTTTACCACATGGTACCAACCCTAAACAGATCAGCTCAAATGGCCAACAGGCACAGTTAAACAAATCATTAGCGAAAATTTGGTAGGTTAGTAATGCAATGGAGATGTCTCCCTGTAGGTGAAGCTAGCCTAAAGCAAAAAGCTAAATTTATTTCATCCTCATCAAAAGTCATCCCCAATGTGCATCTCATGAAAATCACGGGAGTTTCGGACCCTCAACATCCTGGCTAGTAGTCTGTACAATTCACCGCTTGGGTTCATTAGCACTGTGAATAACTGGCACGGCAACCACTACTCGTCTCAGCTGAATAGATCTGGTCTGAATATAAACCTGGCTTAGTGTCGTGTACCCAGCACATTTCAAGGTATTTCCCGAAGTAGTCGTGATGGAAATCGCCCCACCTCGACCGCCTCCTACCACAGTCAGTACCCCGTTCTACCATTTCCCCGTTTAATTTTTAACACTGTTATTACGTGCATCATAAGTTTACTTAAAATCCCACGAAATAACTTTGCTTCTATACGGAGACTTTTATCAAGTGTAAAGTCAAAACACAGCGTAGTGTAATAGGTTGTTGTAATCCGACATTTTGGTTTCCATGGGATTTCTACAATCAACTGAATACGAGTCAAATGCAACGCCATTCGGGTCCGTGTCTTATGATTGGTGCACCCCTGTGGTCAGTTGGCAGGTAATCGGCCCGGAACGTTGCTTCCAGTTTATCCAGCCCGAACTATTGTGGCTTTTTTGAAGGGTTCAGTTGGAATGGGCACACCAGTTAACTATGGGACAATGTTTGGAATCTCCCTGGATTGGCACTCAATTGCGTGAATACACATCATTACAGATTAAACCAGTTCGGTCCTTCATTGGTGTGGATTACTGCATATATCCGAAAAGAGAATATTTCTAACCTTTCAGAAGAGCTTGGTAAACAATCGGTAGTTTTTATTTGGGCAACGTTTCGCTTTTGACACAAATGCTTCATTGGGCCAAGGGAACAGGTCATCAAACTGACCAGGTTGTAAGACAGACGTGGAACCACTCAGTAGGTAATCTTCAGATTATTACACAAGATCAGTGCTGAGTGTCATTTAACGGCTCTTGTCGGCTAGTGTGGTTGCTAAAATCTTGAAACGACTGGTTGTAGGAGTTTCAAATTAGTTCCGATCGCCTTTCGTTTGTTAATTTTCACTTGATGATTCACCTCGGGTGCCACTGGTAGATTTTCCTTGGTCTTCATGGCCATGTGAATGTTGCGACATTTTAGTTGGGGGGAGGGGAGTGGGTAAGGTCAAGTGAGATCCAGATGATGACTACTCATCCCTCTGATAATAGCACACCAACACGTGTTAGCTTGAGTGACCCAAGACCGTTCTCCACACGCTTGCCAGTTCCACGCCTTCCATTCTGTTAACACTGGGATGCTTGGCGATTTCCACCGCCTCGGCCATCAGTCTCTGTGAAGTGGACCGTAGTCCCGTGTCCAGTGCATGTTCCGCAATTGCCGAGTCTTTCAGTAACGCTTGATATTCATCTGCATTCCTGGGCGGCCTGTATGAATTTCTACTATACTCATCGATTCTGATGTGTATTTCCCTGGCCGTCTGTCCTATATAGACCTTGGTGCAGTCGTTACACTTAATTTTGTAGACAGAGTCCTTGGTTCTGTTTGCCGGGAGACGATCCTTCAATTGCATCAGTGCAGAGCGCAGAGTGTTCCCCACTGGAAAGCTACTCTTATGTTAGCCCTGTTTAGAATTCTGCGAATGACCTCCGATTTCCTTGGTTTGTAAGGAATATTTATATTGAATATTTCAATCAAATCCTTGGCTTGTCTACTTTCTACGCTTTTGGTGGCACCTTTAGATGCTGCATCCGTTTATCCCGAAGTTTCCTAATATGCTGAACACTCCGACTTTTTCGGACTTCTGTGAGTGGCTTTAAAGGGGAAGGTCGTCCCAGAAGTACCATACAGTTTGCACTGGGACAAATCGCTGTTCCATCTTTCCTAAATAATTGACGCAACACATCGTGCAAATGTCAGATGAACGATTAGTCCTACATATGTTGAGTTTGCTTAGTTTCGTGGTCACACAATATTTTAACTGTCAGGGTAGTTGAACGTCATTCTCAAACCCGGGGTAAAGACAGCCAGTTTGAATTCCGTTTAGAGTTCAAAGAGTAGTGTCTCACCCATCTACACTGTCAAGAAAACATGTGACATTTTTTGATACAGAGAGTGCTCGAAGTTCATCCTTTGAGATGAAAATATTAACGCTTCATGACAATTTACTCGCATGATACGCTTTACTGTGTTAAGAACTAGTTGGTTCCTGAACTGAGTAGCCATCTCAGGTTCGACCGCGTTTTGTTGGGATAGGGCCAATGGTACGTTTAGCTTAGCAGATATATAGTTCACAACCGGCAACAACTGGCGAGCCTCTAGATGATAAAACAGCTCAAGCAAAATGCCAACTGAGGAATTCAACTGCTTATAATACTGGTAGATAATAGTACATCTTCTTGAGTAACTAAAAAGAGTAAATCTAAATTCTAACAAGACCTTCCTAGGGAGAAGAATTTTCATTCAAGATTTTTTTGTTTCAATTTTCTATTGTCCTTGGAATTAACATTCAAATGTCATCGTGCTACTTAAAAAGACCATGGCTTGTCTGTTAAGTGGGAATTTTCGCGCTAATTTCACCCAACTTGTAAAGATAAGGCGAAGCGTTGGAGCTGAAAAAACACTACCGATTCAAGATCAACGCTGAGTACGGGATACAAGCGTATTTCTTATGTTTTTGGACCTGGCGGAATGGGCGTACGATCTGTAGTAATGCATCATCTTCTCCAACATCTCGTCGCCTCCAAGCAATCCACATTGGTTTGTGTCGTTACAAGCTACATCAGTGCAATTAAGTTCTGACATCGACATTGCCCGGTACGGAAGAGTACACACATTTTTATAGTTACTC